ATGTAGGTGCTGGTGGATCTCTAAGATGCCAGATCCGGCTCCATGGCAGCTATCCATTGAGAGGCCTAGGGTTCCGAGGTCGCCTCAGCGTAAGTGCCAGGGGTCTGGATGTCAAAGGCATCTGGGTCACCCTTAGGGACTAGCAGCATGGAACAGAGATGGGGAGCAGCCTCTGACAGGAAAGCAAGCTCGTACTGCCGGTCCTCCAGGACGTCACTACCAAGGGCAGGAGCACCACCAACGGACGGAGGACGGACAGGGTCAGCGACCAGAGCGGTGGCATATTCAAGGCGACGGTTAGAGGCGAATTCAGTGACGGCAGCGACAAGAGCGTCAAGACTCGAGACAGGGACGGACGGGTCGGTAAGGAGGGAGAGCCAGGACGAGCGCGAGAAGGACGGCGAGACCAGATGTGGGATGGAGGCGTCAGGTCAGGAGGCAGAGGAGTAATAGGAGGGGAACGAGGGTGGAACCGAGTCGAGGACGAGTCCGGCGGAGGAAACACAGGGCCGTAGAGAGGAAGGGAAGGAGGCGGCGGGGGAGGCACATGCGAGCGGTCAGGGGAGGGAAGGCCGAGCAGGCGAAGGGCGAACACCGGCGGCGACTGCCTCTACTACTACTCCATACCAATACCTGGAATGCCAGCTGCACCACGCCTACCTCCGGAACACTCCACTCCAACACCCCCAAAACGAGCACCCCAAGAGCGAGAACCCTCTGCAGCACTGGTTCCACCCCGAGAACCGTCGGGACAAGCCACGACATGAACCCCAGGACTAGCACCCTCCACAACGCCAGCACCCCCAGAGTCCACGGACGGCGGCTGCTACTGCGGCTGCAATGACAGCTGCAGCTGCTGTTGCGGTGGCGACTCCGGCGGCTGCTGCGATGGCGGAGGAGGAGACACTGAGGGAGAAACAGGCGGCAAGAACTGCGCCACGGGGCCACAAGAGTTAGCCGACTCCTCAACCGGGACAACCGACGGGAGGGGAGTGACGTGAGACACACCAGACGAAGCAGGACGGGGAGGGAGGGGAGCAGGGGCTACTGGGGGAGTGGGAACCAGAAAAAGGGGTGGGGAAACCGGGAGACCTCGGTGGAGAGAGCGGTGGTAGAAGGAGACAGACTCGTCGAAAGTGGCGTGACAGGAGTGAAAGAAGCGGTAAGACGGCGGGTTCTAAAAGTGCTAGTCAGAAGAGTCAAAGGGGAAACCGAGGAAGACACAGGGGACAGTGCGGGCAGTGAGCTTGTCCGTGCCAGAGGCACGAACGTGAGGAAGGCAGCCTCGGACGTGGAACGCAGACGCGTCACCAGGGAACCCGGTCCAAAGAAGGGTCGGCGAAACCTGCGGCCGCTGGGAGTGCTGCCACAGGTTAAGCTGGTGAGCGGCGTAGCGAACGGCGAACGGCCACAGAAAATGGGGTGCAGCGGCATGGATCATGGAGGTACGAGCCACCTCCATGACCAAAGCGATGCGTCGCTCAGCGACCCCATTCTGCTGCGGGGTGTTCGGTAGGGTGTACGACTGGGTGATGCCCTCCGTACGACACAACTTTCCAAGCCCACCAGAGGCGAACTAGCCGCCATGTTTGTAGTGGAGACACAGCACAGGGAGAACGCGGTGGAGGCGCGCAGCTACGACTCACGGGATGAGAAATTCAGGCACGTCGGCCTTACGCTAGAGAGGAAACACCGTGGTGTAGCACGTGTAGTCATCGACAAGCACTAGAAAGTAGCGCTCTCGACGCGGCCCCGGGATGGGGGTTGGACCCCAGACGTCCAGGTGCAGGGTTTGGAGTGGCGACGTGGCTGGGCGAAGCAAGGAGGAGTGAGGAGCCCGGCGCAGCCGGCCCTCGACGCAGGGCGTGCACGGCGGCACAGGCAAGGGAGGGAGGGCAGGAAGCGACGCAAGGAGACCTAGGACGAGACCGTGCTGAGACATGTGACGCAGACGCGGGAGTGTGGGGTGACCTAGGCGGTGGTGCCACAGAAGTGACGGGTGAGTGAGCAACCGACACGAGCAAGCCTCAGCGACCTGGGTATACGCAGGACATGGGGAGGATGCGCCCACCTGGGGGGAAGCAGTGTTTAGCGTAAAGAGGCCAGACACCTGGTCCCGGGGGAACATCGCAAGGGGGGCACCTGAGGTGGCATCTGTACAGACAGCGTACCGCTCGTGACCAGGGAACGTAGTGGTGACGCCGAGGTCCTAAAGACAGCGGACACCAAATAGGTTCCTGGAAAACGAAGGGATGTGCAGGCATGTAAGAGAACCGGAGGGAACCGCTGGACAGGGAAGGGTAGTGTAGCTACGGGCAACGACAGGACTAGAGAAGGGGTCAGCAAGTGTGATAGCGGCAGGTGCTGTAAGCCGCGTGAGTGTAGCGTGGTCGTGGAAGAAGCATGTGGACGCACCAGAGTCAAGCGTAAAGGACTGCGAAGCAGAAGCTTCGACCGGAGGAGGAGCGAGCGTGGAGCCTAGGCTAGACAAGGCAGAAGGTCCTAAGCCTGACACAGCAGGAGAGTCTGTATTACCTACAGGTACTACACCTAAACTAGATAGCACAGGGCAATAAGATCTGGGCAGACTAGAAGCATCAGAATACAAAGAATGCAAGGCAGAACTAATCTGATCCATGTCTAAGTCAAAGGCAGCACACCGTGGCGTAGCAGACTGGGCCAGTCAGGGAGATCCGGGGCCGGACCAAGCGGCGACGAAAGAAGTCGTCCAGGTGGTGGAAACAGCGGGCGGTCAGGTGCGAGCGACGACACACAGTGCCGCGGAGGGGGCCGGTCTAGAGCTGGTACGGGCAGCTCACAGCACCAAAGCTGCCGGCCGACGCCGAGCTGCAAGGGCCGCCACCGAGGCCACCACCTCCAGAGGCTCCTGGCTTCCCCGGCGGGAGGCGGGCCCCGATCCCCTCGTCAGACCCACTGTCCCCGTCACCACCACCACCACCACCACCACCACCACCACCGACACCACGCCCCCCCTTGGGGCCACGACGGCCCCGACGCGGGCATAGCTGCGGTCTCAGCGGCAGGGGCAGTCGCAGCGACCGCAGCTGAAACGTCAACGTACGTGCACTGGGTGGGTGCACAGCCCTAAAGGATAGAGACTGCCGCAGCACCGCTCGACTGAGCGATAGTGCGCTGGCGAGTCTCTATCTCAGACAGGGCGGTGACAAAGGTGGTAAGGGTGAGGTCACCTGGGTGCTGACTAAGGAAGTGGTCGCGGGCAGTGGCTAAGCGGTCCGAAAGGCGCATGGCAATGAGGTACAGGGTAGCGCAGAACGGCGGGGGGAAGGCAGTGAGATGGGCATCAGTACTATTTGTCAAGAACTTAGGAGACTAGGTTCCTAAACTTAGGACACTAGCTTAGCTAGGATACTAGGAATGCCGCCATAGAATGGCGTGAGGAAAGTAGATCTAGGAGCGGGTAGGAGAGAATGTCGAGAAAGAAGGAGTGTTCGATTAGGAAGAGAGAGGAGTACAAGGAGGGGTTTGTACCCTCTACAGAAAGGTTCATTAACAACCTACCAAGCCTATATTAAATTATAACTTATATAATTTTAACACACCCCCTAGGCTTGGTAGTCACACACCCACCCAACACACCACACACCCCCTAACCTAGCACCCCCATTCCAGCCACAGTGACAGCGACACTAGGTCGGTCGACCCCACGGCGCGTGAGGCGGCGACGGCGACCGCAGGGGCTGCGGCGGCGACGGCGGCAGCGGCGGCAGTGTCGACAGCGGCGGCGGCGGCGACAGCGTGCGGCTGCGTGGCCCCGACGCAAGCGGCGACAGCGGCGGCGGCGGCGGCGGCACCCGCACCTCTCGGTGACGTGGCCAGGCCCCGCGACGGTGGGACGGCTGGTGGGAGTCAGCCGTCGGCTGCGGCAAGATACAGGACACAGGGGAAGGGGGGCACCCGCACCTCTCGGTGACGTGGCCAGGCCCCGCGACGGTGGGACGGCTGGTGGGAGTCAGCCGTCGGCTGCGGCAAGATACAGGACACAGGGGAAGGGGGGCGGGGCGTGGTCCAGCCTCACGCTTGAGGCTGGCGTGCGGGCAGCAGGTGTGGCGGCGCCACGAACGTCGCGCGGCAAGCTGCCGTCCGACGACGCTGCCACGGCAGCATTACGACGCCGATACATCACGGCGTCGATGCAGCGGTGGGACGTCGCCGCTGCGACGGTATGCACGGCGCCATCGCAGCAGTGTGGCATCGACGCCACGCGTCACGACGCGACGGCACGGCAGGAACGGGCATGGCCGCCACGGCGGCACGGCAGGAATGAACGACTACTAAGTACGCGGCGGAAGCGTAGGGAGCAGGCCCGTAAACGGTCACCTGCTCTGTTACCATTTCAAGAACTTAGGAGACTAGGTTCCTAAACTTAGGACACTAGCTTAGCTGGGATACTAGGAATGCCGCCATAGAATGGCGTGAGGAAAGTAGATCTAGGAGCGGGTAGGAGAGAATATCCAGAAAGGAGTGTTCGATTAGGAAGAGAGGAGTACAAGGAGGGGTTTGTACCCTCTACAGAAAGGTTCATTAACAACCTACCAAGCCTATATTAAATTATTAGCGCGGTAGCTAACCTCTAGTGCATGGAGGTGAGTGGTTAGGTTAGCGACAGTGGGGAAAGCGGCAAGATTAGGGAACAGCATGGGGAGGATTACACGGCTAGCAGAGGTGGAGGCGGGCGTGGAGTAGTGCTCAACTACTGCACCCAAGAAATCCTGGGCATTGGGACTTTCTATATCATAACACTTAGTATCAGATTAGAGCAATGGTGGCTGCTGCACCTGTCTTTCATGGTTCCTGTTTTGTGGTTTTTGTCTGCATTGGTGGCTAACCTTGGATCGCTCAAATCTGCTCGTATTGTGTGGCACAATGCAATGGGTTCCGTGCAATGACAAAATGTCCTTGTGTGTTGCAGGTATAGTGAGGGGGTATAGGGAGGAGGGAGAGGGTGCAGGAAGAGGTAGCATTGTTGGAGGCTTTTATTCCGCTATATGAAACATACAACCATCCATGTACCTAACGGCAAAAATGCAAAAATACTCCCCGTAAGGGCAGCTACCAGCACGGAAGATACCGTGTTGTAGATAGTAGTACCCATGGACGATGGGCAATTGAGGTGGACGGTGGGCGACCTAGTTCACGGAGGCGGCCACCTCGGGCGTCTCGGCGGACGAGTCGAGCTGCAGGTCGTACCGCTTGCCGCGCACCACGGCATACATCTTGTGCGGCGCGATGTAGTCGCACGTGCGCTCCGTGCGGAAGGGCTCGCCTTGGATCTGCTCACACGAAAGGGAAAGACAAAACTTGATGTGAAGTGCTCATTCGGAAACGCTAACACGTTGTACAGTGGGAAAATGGTGTAAGCGCGAGCGAAAATGTCCGCAGGTGCTTACCTGATTCCCGGAGTGGATCTGCACGCCGGTGATGACGGCGTAATCCGCAGTAGCAGGGTCGACAGTAAGGGAGATGAGCTTCTCCAGGTCGTCGGTAATAGCCTCGAGCGCGGCCTTGGTAACCTGCACGAGCGAGAGCAGCTCGCCCTCCTTCTTGCGCTGCACCTTCTCCATCACCTTGCTCTTCAGCAGCACGTACTCCGCGTCGTCCGCGTCCGGAGTCACGCCGTTGTCCGCGTTAATGTCGTTCTTGATTGCGATCAGAGCACCGCATGCGCTCGACGGCTTTCCGCGGCCGCGGCGCAGGAGCGAGCCCACCTCGCCGGACTCGCCGACGGACACGTGGGGGAACGCGAAGAAGATGTCTGGAGGCGGGGGAGGGGGGAAGGGGGAGGGTGGGGGAGGGGTATAATTACAGGTCTATCACCAGCAGTGATGCCAAGTGCTTCGAAACAACGGCTTCTGACTTGACTGGTAGTACAAAGTACGAAGAACGGCAGCAGCGGCAGCAGCGGCAGCAGCACTCACATCGTTCCTTGATGGTGCCGTCGACGTCGCAGAGGAACTCGGGCGAGTGGCTCATGGCGGCCTTGAAGCCCGTCTTGCCGCAGTTCACCAGCCCGCCCAGTCCAGATACGTTGAACGACAGCCCGAACTCCTTGTCGATCAGGTTCACGATCGGCCGGCACACCTCGTCCCGGCACGTGTTCACCAGCGCGATGCCGTTGTCCCTGGTGAGTCGAGGCGGGCGGGAGCGGGGAGGGATGATCCCAAGCGTGGAGATTAGACGAGGAACGAACGCGGGTTTCATCGTCTTATGCTTTGCTGAGACTGACACACCTGCCGCAGGGTACTAAATGTAAATCGTAAACAATCTTACTTGCGGAAGCCGAGCTTGTTGAGTTCGAGCGCCACGGCGTGCATGAAGTCGTCCTCTTGCCGCGAGCTGGGGAAAAACTCCGCCATCGTCGCCAACGCCGGCAGCGCCGCCTGCTTCACGCGCTGCACGGCGGAGCCGTTTCCGCTCGCGGCGTCCGCCACCGCCGCGGTGGTGTCCACGACGGGAGATGCGGCGGCTGTTGCGGGAGTCGCGACGGCGGAGGCGGCGGCGGGAGCAGCGGCGGGGCCCGGGCTCGGGAAGGTGATGTTGACGACGTAGTAGGTGGCGCCGCCGGCAACGGCGGCGGGTTGGGAGAGGCCAGTAATATCGGCGCTCGCCATGACGACGCCATGCTGTCTGCAGGAGGCGCAGGCGCACGACGGGCGGTGCGCAGCAGCGTACTTAGCTGCCGGGGTCGTCTTGGCGGACCTGAGCCCGGAAAACGGGGGAAGAGTGGCGGCGCGGGTGGATGTAGTCAGGTTTGAGGTGGGGAGGGAGAGGGAGCGGGCAGACACAGCTGCAGAGATGGAGAGGGCTGCCATGGCGTCTAAGTTTGTAAGAGTAGGAAGGAAGCTCTCGCCGTAAATGTAAATAACCGTTAGACAGAAAACGAAAGCGAATGGAGCGTCGTTGCTAAAACAGATTGTGAAGCTGAGGACTATATAAGGGCGAACGAGCACGCAGGCGCTAGCTAGCCAGGGAGTGAGACGGTATCGGAATAGGATCCTGGGAAAAGGGGAATGCGTGCATTTGTCATCCGTTCCACACGATACAGGCAGGTACTGGCTCGCACGCGCGAGGCGCGAATTTGTGTGGAAAATAGGAGGCGAATAAACCATTCTCCCTCCGTTTCCTCCCCTTTCCGAATTCCCCGTCCACTGCTGTCTGTAAAGGTCCTCGTCAGATTCCATCTCAATGACATCAGTCGATGACCACGTGTGATTATTTAATTGGTTGTCGACCCACACCGCACCCGCCCTGAAAGGGGAGCATAGGTGAGACAACGGGACTCCTCTTCGATGATATGAAGACTTTTCGGCCCACGTGCCCCACAAATTGGCGCCCGGGCGAGATGCAATCCTCTTCGGTGACGGATAAGCGGGAGCGAAAAGCAGCACCGCAGATTTGACACCTGCAATGCACATGACTCGCAAAACCGGACCGCAAAGTCATTGACGTGATCGCAAGTTCGCAACCACGAACCCCATCCTCCAATCCCAAACAAACCTACCGCACCCAGTCAATGACAGAATGTCGCACATTGGCGTGCAAGGGTTACCCGACTGGGGATAGTTATGTTACTTTCTTTCTGTTATGCATTATAGCTCTGTAAGGAATTTCCATTCCTTACTGAGTAGTACACTAGCACGTACACCCGAACTTCTCGACTCGCCACGTTCGGCCTCATTTGTCGGCCCTATCCTTTCCCGCGCTGCGTCCGGCACTATCGCCACATTGCCGAACCTACCCACGTTCCGAGGTCATCGCCCTAGCACGCCAACCCCTATATAACCTCGTCCCTTCAATGCAAAAGCGACCCTGTATTCTCGCGTTATATTTCATTGACACTTCCTATATCATAATAGCTGGTATCAGAGACATACCTTTCAAGGAACCTTCAGTTTTCCCGTCTACTTAGAGGGGATTAGCACGGCTACACAGCAGTTGTCTTGGATCGTAAATATTTTTACGTCAACAACTACAGCGTCTGCGCTAGCTGTCAAATGTAACTTAGGTCGTTACTGTAGAATATACTGGATTCTGCCTTAGAGGGTACAATACCCTAGTCTATATACCCTTGTATTGTACTCACACATTCTAGTTCAATTATTCTTTCTGATATGGTATCATAGTACGTTAGGTTCCCCCCTACCCCGCCCACGCTTCCGCCCCCTAGGCCCTAGCCACCGTCGTACCCCGCTCCTAGCCGGCCCTCCTGGCCGTCGCGCTCGTCCCTCGCCGGCCCCCTGGTCGTCGCGTCCGCCCCTAGCCAGCCCCCTGGCCGTCGCGTCCGTCCCTAGCCGGCCCCCTGGCCGTCGCGTCCGCCCCTAGCCGGCCCCTTGGCCGTCGCGCCCGTCCCTAGCCGGCCCCCTGGCCGTCGCGCTCGTCCCTAGCCCCCCCCCCCCCCCCCCCCCCCCCCCCTGGCCGTCGCGCCCATTTCCTGCCGTCCCACGGCCGCCCCTAGCCGTCTCACGGCTGCCCCCTCGCCGTCGCGGCCGCCCTTAGCTGCTGTCGCTGCCGTCTAAAGCCGCCTCACAGTCACTCTTGCCGCCGCGGCCGCCCCTAGCCACCGTCGCGGCCGCCCCTAGCCGCCGTCGCGGCTGTCCCTGGCCGTCGTCGCGGCCGTGTCTCCTCGCCGTCGTGGCTGGCCCTACTCGCCGTCGCGCCAGCTCCTCGCCGGCCCCCGTTGCCGCCGTTTGCTGGCCCCTTACGTCTGCCGTCCGCCGGCCGGCTCCTGCATTTGCGTCGTTGCCAGCCCGCTGCCGCCTCGAGTTCGGCCCGTTCCTCCCGATTAGCACTGCCCTGCGAACCCCCCCGGTACCGTACTAGTCCGCCTTGCACCGCACTGTACCGCACTGCACCACACTGCATCGCACCGCACTGCAATGCAACGTACTACACCGCACTGTACCGCACTGTACTGCTCTCCACTGCCCTCTATTGTCAGTGATGGCGAAGGTGTTTCGCTTTGACGCTGAGGGCCAGCCGATTGAGTTTGATGTGTGGCTTGCTGACCTCCGTCGCCACCTCACTGGTCAGCGGCAGGATGGCCACTCTCTGTCTGTCCATCTTGATGGTACTCTCCCCGGCCCTGACCCCCCCGCTGTACTGTCTACTGATCCCTCGTCCGCTGAGCGTGACTCCGCTGCGGCCGCTGCCCTTGCTCACTCTGTCTGGCTGTCCCGTGACGCTGTCGCACAGCTTGCCATTAGCAATGCCCTCCCCTTGTCTGAGCAACCTTGCTTCAGGTCTATCACCATTGCCCAGGCTTTCCTAGATGCTGTTGTCCAGCGCTATTCCACCCCGCCTGCTGCCTCGGTCGGTCGTCTGATCCTCCCCAGGCTCTTTCCTCACCTTGCGTCTATCCCCACTGTCGCCGGCCACTCACCTGCGCACTATAGACGAGACTTGGCGTGCTGCCTGCACTCCCACACAGCTTCTAGCCCACAAGCCGCCCCTCACCTCTACTCTCTACCTGCTAGCCACCCGCGTCTCTGACCGTCTTGCCACTGCCCGTGACCACTTCCTTAGCGTCCACCTCGCAGACCTCAGCCTCACTGACTTTGTTGACACCCTGTCCGCTATAGAGGCCCGCCACTGCTCTATCGCTCAGACCAGCGGTAATGTGCCGGTCCCTATCTTTCAGGGTTGCGCCTCCGCTCAATTCACCTTCTCTGACGGTTCTGTTGCTGTGGCTGAGACTGCCGCTGCAGCACAGGTCCGTCCAAGGAAGGGTCGCCGCCCCAAGGCTGGGCGTGGCAGCGGGGGTGGGGGTGCAGGTGTTGGTGGTGCTGGAGCTGGGTCTCCTAGTGGTGGTGCGGACGAGGGGACCCTGCCAGGTGCAGCCGACCAGCCGTCTCAGCAGTCGCCGGCGTTGCAGCCGGACTCCCTTCAGCCGCAGCAGTCGCAGCAGCCACAGCAGTCGCAGCCGCACTAGAGACGGGTGAGTGCTCTCCCGCCCGGGTGGCCTGGCGCTGGTGGTAGCGCTGGACGTGGTGGTGGTGCGCGTGGTGGGCTGCCGGGTGGTGGTTCGGGTGACGCGCGCTGTCTATACCTGCTCCAGACCGGTCCTCGCCGTGGCTTCGTTTACGGTAAGATCGGTCACACCTCCGTCCGCTGTTTCCGTCGCCTGGACGACCTGTTTCGTCAGCGTTTTGGCCCGTCGCCCGAGCTCCCAGATAAGCACAGTTTGCTTCGTCGTAGGGTCCTGATTTTTTATCTGGATATGGATGAGATTGTTACTGCTCTGCATGTGGTGTATGCTGATGACACTAGTGTGCTTCGGTCTTATTACCTCTTGTTGCCTAGTATAGGTGTGCCTTGCTTCGACTCCCCTGCTGCGTCAGGCGTAGGATCCCCTGCTTTGTTTAGCCTTGGTGCTTCCGTCGCTGCTTCGCCTCCGGCCGCCACTGCCGCGCTCTCCTTCACCCTCGACTCTGGCGCTTCCCGGTGCTTCTTCCGCGACTCCACCACATTGACACCGCTTCCTGTCCCTGCCGCAATCTCTCTTGCTGACCCCTCCTCCGGCCAAGTAGTCGCCCGCAGTTCCACCACCCTCCCCTGCCCGGCGGTTCCTTTAAGCTCGCTCACAGGACTGCACATCCCCTCGTTCTCCAGGAACCTAGTTGGTGTCGGCTGCCTTCAGGACCTTGGCGTCACCACTACGTTCCCTGGACACGAGCGGTACGCTGTCTGTACCAAGGCCACCACTGGTGCCCCCCTGTCCACGTTCCCACGGGACCTGGTGTCTGGTCTTTTCACACTGGACACGGTGACCCCCCGTCAGGTGACTACGTCTCCCCCGGTTGCTGCTGCCTGCTCCTGTCGGTCTCTTTCTCACCCGACTCTTCTCTCGCACCACCGCCTAGGTCACCCTGCGCTCTCGCGTCTGCGTCACATGTCACAGCTCGGTCTCGTCCTAGGCCTCCCCGGGTCGTTCCCCGAGTTTCCCTCCTCCCCAGCCCCACCTTGCACGCCCTGTATCGAGGGCCGGCTCCGCCGTGCCCCTCACTCCTCCTCGCTTCCACCTACTGCAGCACCGCTACAGACTCTGCACTTGGACGTCTGGGGCCCCGCCCCTGTCCATGGGCTTCGTCGAGAGCGCTACTTCCTAGTGCTTGTCGACGACTACACGCGCTACACCACCGTGTTTCCCCTGGAGCGGAAGGCCGATGTGCCTGCCGTCCTTATCCCGTAGCTTGTCGCTGAACGTGTCCACCACGGTCTCCCTGTCTTGCGTCTCCACTCCGACCGTGCTGGCGAGTTTGCCTCTGGTGTCCTTGGTCGTTTCTGTCGTGCGGAGGGCATCACCCAGACGTTCACCTTGCCGGACTCCCCGCAGTAGAATGGGGTCGCTGAGCGACGCATCGGTTTGGTCATGGAGGTGGCTCGCACCTCCATGATCCATGCCGGGGCACCCCATTTTCTGTGGCCATTCGCCGTTCGCTACGCCGCTCACCAGCTTAACCTGTGGCCGCACCCCTAGCAGCCTCAGGTTTCGCCGACCCTCCTCTGGTCTGGGTCACCTGGTGATGCGTCTGCGTTCCACGTCTGGGGCTGCCTCGCTCACGTTCATGCCTCCAGCACGGACAAGCTCACTGCCCGCACCCTTCCCTGTGTCTTCCTCGGCTTCCCCCTTGACGCGCCTGACTGGAACTTCTACCACCCGCCGTCTCACCGGTTCTTTCACTCCCATGACGTCACCTTTGACGAGTCCGTCTCCTTCTTCCGCCGCTTCCCCCACCGAGGTCCCCCGGTTACCCCCCCCCTGTTCCTGGTCACCCCTTCCCTGGCCGTCGCCGCCCCTCCTCCTCCCCCTCCCCGTCCTGCCCCCTCTGGTGTGTCCCATGTCACCCCACTTATGTCGGTTGTCCCGGTTGAGGAGTCTGCTGACTCTGGTGGTCCTGCGGTG